CTAAGAAAAAAACACTGTTTAAGTCGGCAAAGTGCAGTATTCCGTAATTCGCTAATATTAGAAGTTAGAAAACATTGAATTTTGTGAATTATAGTGAACAAATAAACAAGTACAATATATTATTAAGATTTAACAGACTACACCTAAGGAAAACGGTCTAAAATTAGTTATTGTTGATTTTGTGCACGTATGCTATTACTATATGCGTCCGAACTATTATACAGTTGGCCAACAGCCTAGTGAAGAAATTATATCACGTGTCAGGAAGTACTTCCTCCATTTTATGCCGACTTCATCTCCACCCTAAATACCTATGTACGTTATGTATGTTGTGTACTGTATAGACTGTATAGTGTATAGATTGTTAGGCTAGAATTATTAAAACATATTACTGTATAATATTACTATGTTGTACGTTTGCCTAGAGTAAAATATCAACCCGGGAGATTATAAATTTGGCCCACTAAATTCTTAAAAATTAGACGATCTCGGCTAATTTAAATAGAAATATTGGTTTTAATAAGTTCAAGAGGTTTAAAATATTAGAGGCCTTGAGGGCGATTGCCTTTTTGACTTCGGCCCAATATTATTAAAAATATAATGTTCGTGAATACTACTTTTAGTAGGTTACACAATTCAAATTGCTAAAACGTAGCTTACAGAAGTAGTTGAAATATTATTGTTCTAAGTCAAAACGTATAATATAAAATTATGACCACAGTAGTTATACGTATTTTTTTGGTGTTAAATTTTATGAAATTAGTTTGGGCCATACTGAACGGAAAATATTTTTTAAAGGCATGACGGAGCTGTGGCGAAAAATACAGCTGTGTCGGACCCTATATTAATATCGCCCTAACTGGAAGAAAATAAAGGGGACTTTTCCCTGCAGTATAGGAGTACGCGCATGTGTTCTCACGCGCATTTTGTACTCTTAAACATTATCGATCGCCCTCTCCCTCTCCGGTTTCTTTCATTCATGCGTTCTCTAAATGCGTTCTGCACTGTTTATTCTCCCTCTTAAAATATTTGTACCGGGTTAGTAATAACGTGAACCAATACCGATAGTCAATAACAATTAGGTATTATACTCATCAGAGTATAATAATATTTGTATCGAAAACCCATATTAAGTTAATACGGCAATGAGCATAATTAGGGTTAACCTAACCTGACCATAGAATTGAATTGGACTTTAAAAATCGTACCTAAAAAGTATTTAATTGAGCTAAAAATGTAAAAGATTCACCCTCTTCCCCTTCAAAAATAAGAAAAACACAAAAAAAGGTTAACTTGAAACTACGCCGTGCTAAAAACTTTAAAACTGAAAAACATTTTTATTATATTGTGTATTGCGACACATGGGTAACAACGGCAACAAATTAAATATTATAAACAGACGATCAAACCTGATCGTATCAAGTATCCACCCTAATACTTTAAGCACAATTTTAAGCACAGCTTTGTCATTAGTTCGCAGATATGAGCATGATAAGAACGATTAAGTTAGATATTAATATTTCTGAACATTTTCTGGTCATTAAATATTATAATGTAAAATGAGATTTTGCAAAATTCTTGGAAGTTTTTGTCTTTTTGTTAAAAAAATGTACGTTTATCACACGTTGACCTTATCTAATCAATTATGAATAGCGAGCAACTAAAAGATGCAAAAGAACTCAGTTTAGTAACAAAAACTAGGTTATGTGATAGTACTTACTACTTAGAAATAATACAAAATATATTCTCGAAAGCTTCAACATGGTACATTATTATATCTGAAATATGTTAAGTGATTTAAACCCAACTTAAGTATGCTAACTAGGGTAATGTACATAGTTTAAATTTATATATTTTTGTGTAATTTTATAATATTATAGTGAACTATAATTTATATTATTATGTAAAAGCTATTATATGAGTTCTATACATTATGGTCCTATCAGAGGACCATAATTTAATTTGAGCAATTTGAACAATTTTCAACAAAAAAATATATAATTACCATACAGTTAGAAATAGATAAACGACAAAGTCTTTGTAAAAACTATCATAATGCTCCATCATATTCCAGCTTATAGTATAGTCTTTAATTTTTATTTCTAGGAGATTCCCTCCTCCGGTTAACATATTTAATTGTTGTATTATATGGTACTTATATCAATATCCAATAAATTCGGCAAATGAAAACAGTTTACGGTAAATGCTTTGCGCTAATTAAGATTTATTGTTAGGAATCTTTAATATTAAACTAAAAAAAAAATGTATAATAATTGTATATATTTTTAAGCTTTTATATTAATATTTTTAGTATTTCCCAACATGACACCACATTTTTTTTAATGTCCAATAAAATCTGATAACGTTTTGGTTAAAATCACTGATTTTTGTTTTGGCTTCAATTCGGAGCTGCAAAAGTATTGTTTTTACAAAAATAATTGTAAAAACAATACCATTGTGTTTTTATTTTTGTTCTGGACCCATGTAATCTTCTAAACGTCTATACCGATTACTTCATGTAGCAAGCCTGTAGTTCAGTAATTGTATCTGAAAGCTAAGATTAGGCCAACAATTTAATAAGCTTACCCTTTACCGTTCAAAATTGAGCAAAACCCCTTAAAAATGTTTATAATTTTACCTTAAGCACTTAAACTTAAACTAAACCTTAAAGATTATTGAAAATATTTTTCTATTTCCATTCTAGATCTAGCTTCAGTCTTTTTTTCAGCTCTAAAACCCTAAAACTTCACATAAAAAAGCGAAATAATGAACAATTTTCCACCCCTTTTAAAAGAAATAATTTTTAGTATTTGTTTGAGTTGTCAACTTTTTACGGTAGTAATATGTCTTAAGAATATTCTATACAAATTTGGAACTAATTGGACTTCTTTACGAAAAGTTATGAAGCGCTGTAATTTTAAGTAGAAAAATATGTACATTTTTTTGGTTTTTTTTTTTCTATTTTTAAGTGAAAGACATGAACTTTTTTAATATTTGAATCAATACTGGACGACCTTACTGAATGATTTCTGTTTAATAGAGTTGCTACACAAAGAAATTGGTAGACGAAAAAAAAAAAAAATTATTGTAAAAAAAATACCTTCTGAGCAATGCATCTAAGCTAAAAAATTGTGCACAATAATGATTATTCCTACACTATACAACATAACTTGTTTCTTGCATGCAATGGAAATGCTAACAAAATGTTTGTTTAAAAATGCCTAGCGGTTTTAATAACATCAACTGGCAAGTTTCAAATAAGAACTTTAAAATTTTAATTTTAAAAAAAGCCAATATGTTGGGGACGGGGAAGTCACAGGTCTACAGTAATTGTTATAATTGAAAATAATGAAATTACTTTTAAATAAAAACATTAATGCGAATCTATGAATAGTAGGATCAAACTAAACACAGTAAGAAAGTAAAATACGTAACTGAGTAGTAGTAAGTAAGTAAGGTCCAATATTTACAGATAAAAATATAAATATCGACAAAACCATTGTATCTAATGACAATTATGTCATTAAAAATACATTTTAAACTAGGGTGGATTCGATTAGGGTTGATTAGGGTAAAAAAATGTATGGCCATAGTTACCCATATATTGTAAATAACAAAATAATAAAAATATTTGCATTACCTGTTGACTGTTGATCCACTCATAGTATTAACCTAGAAATTGACTATGATCAAAATGTAAATAACCCCTTTTTTTGGGGTTATTTTCTTAATAAAATAAAAATTTGACTACAAATTTTTAAGAGAATTGTATATGTTATAGCCCCTTTTTAGATCTACCTTCGATAAAATGTTTAAACTGTAATCCCTAAAAATGTTATACATAAAAGTGTTATGAATTTGATAAAGATTTACATATGATATTTATAGATTTTAAACAAGCGTACGATAGCATCAACAGAGAACAACAATGGATAGTATTACAAAATTTTGGGTTGCCCAAAAACACTAGTAAATAAAGCTAGTTAAAACTAGTTAAAAGCTGCAATTCTATTACTATATGCAAAATACATTTCTTAGGGAGTCGTGGGACTTCAAAGTGAAGTCCGGTTTAAGACAAGGGGATGCGTTATCTCTTATTCTTTTTAATATAGATGTCCAAGAATTTTGCAGTTATCGCCATAGATGAATATACATTTGAGCAAATAGACATTTTTAAATACTTAGGGGGTCAATCTGAATAATAGGAATGACATGTATAATGAAATAAGATTGAGGTTGAATGCGGCAAATCGAGGATATTATTCAATGAACAAAATATTTAGTTCTAAGCTTCCCTCCAGCGAAACTAAAAAGAAGCTATATATTTCCTATTTACGACCCATAGTATTGTATTGTTGTGAAACGTGGGCGACTACTAAAGGGAATGAGGTTAAGTTACTAACCTTTGAAAGGAAGGTTCTTAAAAGAATATATGGTCCCATATACAATACGGAAATAGGGCGATATGAAAGGAAAACAAATGCTGATATTGAGAGGTTCTTTAATGGACCAAATATCCCAAAATGTCTTGTCTCAAAAAGACTGGAATGGGCTGGACACATATGGCGAGATAAGGATAGTCTAATGAGACAAGTCCTGGTCACTAAACTAAATAAAACACGCCCCATAGGAAGACTACGTCAGCGTTGGCTAGGTCAGGTAAAGGGAAATTTAAGTCAAGTAGATGAAACAGCATGAATTGAGGATGCAGATAACAGAGATTCATTTACAATTCATATTAGTTAAAAATCATAACATGTTGATTTATTTAAATGAAATAATTGTTTGCTCTTTTATTTTAAATATTATTTTAATTTTGTTTTGATTTTTTTTTAAACTTCTTTTACCATACTACTCATAATTACTTATAAAGGAACTGTAAAATTCTTATTCATAATCTTGACTTACAACTCTTTGAAAGCAGCATGTATTTGTAAAGCAATATCGTACACAATATATTAGTAAAAAGTCAAGTGACAACTTATATAAAGCCAACTTACTTTTAGAAGTGTTAAAATTTTCTGGCTTAAATCATAGTCAAAATTGGCATACTTGGAATCTGACATGTCATAAATGAATACCAAACCACACTTCTGAGTTTTAATATTTTCAAGGGCAACGTCCAATTGATAAACAATACCCTATTAATTAAAAATAAACATTATACACTTATTATATTCACATATAAACAGTTTTCTAGAATGTCTATTGCACCATGTTTGTGACTTAAATGTTTGCATTCACTAAAATTTAACTAATTTTATTGACAGTAAGAGAAGGCAGCATACTTATTATAGTTAAATACATATATTTTTAACTTTGGTTGTATGTATAATTAGGTAGGAACAGAGTCAGCCTAATACCTAAAGGGCCTCAGATTCTAAATCTTTAAAAGGGCTCCCAAAATAAATTTTATTTTTATTTTTTACAAAACAACATGGATTTGTTTTTGGGCTGGATACACAACCAAAATTTGCGTTTTGTTTTTATGTCACGAAATAATGTTATTCAATGACAGAGTCTGGTGTATTTAGAGTGACCAATTGACAGTTCAATACCGGGCTGTATATTTAAACTTTTTGCATTTTTTTCGACCAGTTTTAAACTCTACTTAAAGGAAATCACCAAAAACACTTAGGTCCTTGAGAATAATTTTTTGTTAAAACACTCATTCTATTTCCAACAGTATGATACAATTTGTGCTCTGACGAGGGGTTTTGGAAAAAATCTATAGATTCTTCATAACTTGTAGAAGGGATCGATTGCGGCACATTAATGTCTTTCATAATGGAGTACAAGAAATCAAATATTATAAAAAATTACATTTAAAGTACAAATATTTAATTAATAGAAAAGTGCCATGATTAATTCTTTTGTACGAGTTTTGAAATTTTCAGAATCAAAATCAAAGAATGTAATATGGAGTTGTGTTGGGATTAGAATAGTGTGTTACAAGCAAAAATATTTCACACAAAAACTTGTTTACATGTGATTATGGTTTAAATTAAATATAACACTTTGATAAATGCTATTCACGAAGCCACTTAAAACAACTTTTAAAGAACGATTTCTTACAAAATGTTCAAAATAAAATTAGCCTCTACAAAAAATGTATTATTAATATGTCAGCCAATCTTGACATACTGTGTAAATACTTTATACAGAGTGATTCCTTAAACATAGTAGTATAAATTAATTTTAAGTTTAGTATCCAGTAACTTATTATGATTTTTTTTATTGACCTGTAGAGTAGTTTGATGTGAAGACAGATGTGGGATATGGTAGCGTGCAGTAAATATTGCTATGGCAGCACCAGTTGAGTCTCGTGTTGGCTGCAAAAATAAAAATTGATTGAACTTCTAATTTACCTATCTGAATAGTTTATGTAATTAATTATTACTTACTAAAATTGTAAATTTCTGAGTTTGTAATTCAGTTTTCAGTAGTTTATCGGAACAGTTAAAACCAAATAGACCTTCACGTAGTCTAGTTTCTTCGTGTTGTTTAAATAAAGTTATGGCTCTGGCAACATCAAATTTCCTTGCACATAGGAACTTAACAGCTATTGATGGTGATATTATTGTTTTATTCTGGACCTTTCGAGTATGGTTGATAATTTCTACAAATTCTACCACAGCCTTAAAAATTCAACAACTAAATATTAGTATCAAAGTTTATATGTGATGAAACAACATTGTTTTGTTGCACTATTTAAAATTATTTGATGTAATCAATAAAACAATACACTTACTTGTTTTTGCTCTTGTGTCAATGTCATAGAACCGTTTTCCATTTTATTCAAATTATTATTTCTGCTTTTATTGAAGGCAAATGTAATGTCCTAACCAGAGCAGTTCATTTTCATAAGTTGGCGTGCAAATACGTATATTAGAATGTTAAGAAGGCAACTGCATTAGACTGTTCAGCGTATAATGCATTTTTTTTTTTTTTCAATTTGCGAAATCAATTATGCGAATTCAATTCACTTAATTCGCATAACAAAATAAAATTAACTACAGCGGATTGTTTTTTCTAAGTTCGTGTTGTTTTGTTACTATACCTATATTTTTTTATCAATTTGGTTGGGCATTAGGCCGTAGATTACCAAATGATAACAAGCTACCACCACTTTGGTTTAGGCAGTCCCGCTCTACCCCGCCCTTCGTGGTCCCTTTTTTATATTAGCTTATAACCAAGTTATACCAATTCAAGAAAAATACTATAGAACATAGATATATATATATAATCAACTAGATTGCTAACTGTACATGTCACCAATAGAGAAGATTGAAGCAGCCACTTACCGCCATCTTGGTGGGAATTAGAACCTTATCACGCCATAATAATATTGTTTATAACACAGATATATATAATAAACTAGATTGCTAACTAGCGATAAGAATTGAAGCCGACGGTCCGCTATTCTGGTGGGATTTATGTGTGTTATCAATGCATAAAATATATATCTGTATATATAATTATATCAATATATTATATATATATATATGTAATTGTTATAAACATAATATATTATTCTCGTGTGATGAGGTTCTAATTCCCACCGAAATGGCGGAAAGTAGCTGCTTCAATCTTCTCTATTGGTGGCATGTACAGTTAGCTATCTAGTTTATTATATATATATCTATGGTTTATAACAATCACATATATATGTATATATAATACTGATATAATAATATTTACAGATATATATTTTATGCATTGATAACACACATAAATCCCACCAGAATGGCGGACCGTTGGCTTCAATTCTTATCGCTAGTTAGAAATCTAGTTTATTATATATATCTGTGCTATAGAATGACTCGGGAACTATTGACTCTGGGATCTATAACCATAGATAAATGTATTTAATCTATGGTGTTACTATAGACGGAGCATGCATGTAGATTGTAGTTCCAGCGAGCCAACGTGATGCGCTGACGGCGGCACTAGTTGACGTCTTGAGGCGATCTAACCATGCGTATTTGAGTTCCTAGTTTAAGAAATATGGTGCACGGTTTAAACATTTTTATATGATAAGTCGCGGCTCGTGACTGAATCAAATTTTCAATGGACAATACTGATAAAATCAAATTTTGAGTTGACGACTACTTTTCGGTCATTAAAAATTGACCTTGTTATTTTACCTTTGTATACGAACTGCTACCTGTATACGATCCATAGACCTATAAAGATATAGAGTATGCGCCTCCCACACACCCCTCCTATACTGCCGCGTTATGAACAACGTTAGAAAGAGATAGATAGAGTTGCTAGGTTTCCCATGGAATAAAAATTGAAAAGACATGGAGTAATAAAATTATATTTATATATATGACGATTGACGATACACACATGGAAATATATAATAATTAAATCATATTTAATTATTATTTATTATTGTGTTTTTCGAAGTTGTAAAGCATATAAGGATATGTCTTTCATTATTTTGTCGGATATCCAACACTTTCGTATGATGTATTGTTTTAAATAGATATGTATAGTATATCGGTAATAAATACTTAAAAAACATTACAATTTCATGAGTCAAAAGTCGACAGCCGATACACGAATATCGGGTAACATTGTATGGCATTAAAAAAATTGTGTGGGTCTTGGGACCCGCGGCAGAAGTGAAACTTCAAAACGGTGTGTTACTGAACCCGGTGTTATAAAAGATATGCTAATGTAAAGATTTGTATATTGATTAAAATAGTATTAAATTGGAAAAAACAAAAATGTTTTTTTAGTGGGGGTTGATCATTAACGTCTTTGCAACTTGAATGCATTTTGTACTATTATACGGTAGATCCAGTGGACTTTCGTGCGAACGTAAAATGTCAGTGACTCGACCAAGGCCTAGGCTACGTAAAAGAGTTTAGCCGCTTTTTCTGTTTAGACACAACCTATAGGGTAGTTTTCATTAAGTGTCCGACTTGTTACCTATCTATAGAGCAAATATTTGCCAGCTAATGACGATAACACAAATCGTCAGGTGTTTTATGTGACGAGAGAATTTCAGTGAGACTTAAAGGTAAATCATTTTTACAGAAATGCAGCGAGACCGACTATAAACTATGGTTTAGATTGTTGGGCGGACGGCGGTAGATCATAGAAAAGAGAATAAATGATAGACTAAATAGACGAGTTAATATGGGCATGTTATGAGGAGTGAAGAATCGAAAGTAGTAAGAATGGTAATAAAAATAAACGTAGGAGGAAAGAGGAAGGCCGATCATACACTTCTGGTGGATGCGATGATGATGTACAAGATCGTAACAAGTGGAGATTTAGGACAAGAGTGGCTGGCGGAAGATACTAATATCTTTGATTATAAATATTAATATTCAATGCTAAAATGTATTAAATATTTATAAAAAAAACTTATTTAACATATTAAATGTAATTTCGGCTTATTAAAATTAATGTATTGAATAGTAAATAACATAGTTAAACATATTTATTTGAATAATTTTCATTCAAACAAAATTGTTTAATTCTTACTAATACAAAACTCATAATAAATTGATAACCGTCATGTAATGAAATATACTACTGCTTGGTTGCATAAAGAATTAATTGATACACCAAGATGTATCCAATAATCCTATGGCATGTACACAAAATATATTATATCTATTAAGAGAGAGAGAGAGAGAGAACAATATTTTCTTCAGTAAAAAAGTTCAACATAGGTACACATTTATTATGAAATTTATTATTATAGATTTACAATGAAACAAGAAAATATGATCCCTTGATGTAAGAAAAAAAAGTATTTTGTCTTAATATAATATAATACATAAACACAATTTTTATTAATAAAGTAAAATTTCAGTTTGCACCAAGTGATTTATGACTTCAGAATTGATCTGGAACGGTACACGTCCAGTAAATGAAGTAATAGCTTTTGCTCTATCTCTGATGTATTCTAATTGTGCTTGCCTTTGTTCCGGATCTCTGAGACTCCGACTCGACTCCTCTTCTTTTTTCATTTCAGTATATTGAGAGTACAACATGTTCATGGTGGCAGTCATCACGCCGGGTACGATTCGCAATATGAGCTCATCAAATTTTTTAAAGGCACTCAAACATTCTTCCACCTGATCACTGGACAGAGGTATCAAACCGATAGTGTGAAGCACGTCCAACGCCAACGTGTACTTGTGTTCTTCGTACAATTGGAAAAATACAAACAAACTCTTGAGCATGTTAAAAGTGAAAATTATTTCTTCGGACGCATTAATTTCTGTACCAGCTAAGCGTTCACTCAATGCTTCCGAGTAGTCGTAAATTCTATTTTTCATATTAGGAGATTTGTCCAGCGCAGAGAAAGTATCTGGTTGAATGACCCTACTAAGCATAATATTGACCAACTCGAGTGCCTTATCGTGTTGACCAACCAGCTCGTACAATTGAGCCGCTACTTCTAAATCACATTTCTGTTCGGCGAGCGATGCTGTATTCTTTATAATTTCTAATTTTACAAAGTCAGCCACTACGAACGAGTCCAATAGGCCATTCAACTTCTTTCCGTCTGGCTTCAACTGTCCGAAAACTTTTTCATACTCTTCTGTTTCAATTACCAATGCTGCAACGTATGTAACAAATAAAGTCTTATCATTTGTCTCGGCATGTCTCAAACAGTAATAGTAGTTTATGGCCATTTTTAAATCTTGACTTTCAAACTTGGCACAATATATTTTTATCATTCTTGCTAAATTCAATCTAGCAATTTGTTTGTTATCTTTGGATAGAATCGGCTGATCAAAATCGTTAGGCAAGTATAATAATCCTATTTCATTTAAAGCTATTGCTATGTGCATTGCATGAGTTCGCAGCTTTGGATGACGAAATATAAACTCGATTGCAGATTCAAATTGTCCAGTCAGAAATAGCAGTTGGAAATACGATATTGGTTGAACTTCACTAAATTGTTCTCCATACTCTTTGTAAATGGTCGACTGGAGAAGTGGATATGTTAGTTTATTGTCATCGTTTCGTACTTGGCAAAGCTTTAACCATAAATAATCGTCCGCTGTTTTAATCACATCCGAATGTTTATTTGACACATCAGTAGCAACAACTATTGAATAAACAACCTTTTTGAAAGGGTCATTGCAATCCCATACTACGGTTGAAATTAAATTTTGATCGCTTAAGGTTACATATTGGTGGTTGTTTTTAATACTTGTAAATGCATTCAACAGTTCTGGCTGAGTATTGTTTTTTTCTAAGACACAAATTACAGACTCTAAATCACCACAACGAACTAAATAGTATAGAAGTGGCCAAAACGGAAGGTTGTCGTAAAATAATTGATCTGGATTATTGTACTGGTTAATGTAAACGCTAACAAAACTGCGTACGAGCGGATATGTTCCTGGAATACCTCCGACTTTAGCTTTAGACAAATGACTTTTAACATAGGTTTTCATAAATACAATATACCTTTGTTCTAAATAGGATCTGGCACTACTTATCATTATGTTTTGATTGTTTGCAGAATATCTAGAGTTACTGGAGCCGTGTTCCGGAACAATTTGACTCATACATTTGACGATTTTCCACATTTCATTTACACGATCATCATGAGCGCTTTCAGCAGCTTTGGCAAATGATTGTAAAATGTCTTTTTGTACTCCATGATTTTCTACATGCTGATTGTACTCACATAAATGTTGTGCATACGTCAATTCAGTTTGATCCATGCGAGCGTTCAAACCGAAATTGATTGTATTAAATTTTGAAAGAGCCGGCATTGTTTTAGAACTTGGACTGGATGAGTTTGGCATGTAACCGGGGAAAGAATTGACAATATTAATTTTCTTGTTTCTCCAGTTTTTGGCTATAGTTTCCGTCTGCCTCTTCTCAATGAAATCTTCATTGCTTTTCTTAACCGATTCAATAAGACCTAGAATAGCATTTTGCACCTCATTTTTAACAAAGCTATCTACGTCTGTGTCAGGTTTAGGGTCAAGGGTGTCCAGTGTGGCTACAGAACTTAGTTTTTCCAGCTGTTTGGAAACCTGTGGTGCATCTACACCCCGACTACATAGAAATATGTTACCTTGAGCTTCTACACCAGGTACGCCTACTTTCGTCCATAGATTTTCTGCAGCGTCTAGAAGTTGACGGATATTCCTAGTAACACTCGGCATACCAGTGTCTGTAGTGGCATTCGCTTGCAGCTTTTCCGCTGTCATCATAATGGAATCCCAGTCGGTCCCTGCCATGATTATAAAGTTAAAACTTCCTTAAATTTTCAATTTTTTTTTGAAAAGAGTAGTTTTTAGTTTTAACTATTATGTCATGTAAATTGTGTTCAAAATGAACTCTGCATTCTGTAGACGGTAGCTTGATTTTGTGGCGGTAAGATCACTAAGATAACGTTAAATCGTTTTTTAGAAATCCAATTTTGAGGTTAGAATATATAGAAAAATATAGTATATTGATTTATTTTAAAAATTAATTTCCTGCAGAAAACAAAACATTAGTTTTAAACTAATAATTAATAAAATAAATTATTCATTAATAAAGTCATTAAAGTAGAAATATTACTGAATGAGAGATAATATAATATAATTCTTAAATCTGAAGTATTTGATTTACGTTCGTTCTACTATCAATTTTCATACGTTTGACTGATATGATATCAATAAAAAAACAGAGGTATGCTAGTGACGTGCGATAAGCTCAAAATGGCTGCTGGCGCGTAATGCTTACCTGAGATATGGACATTGGCGTGTTATGAAAATTGATAACACGAGTTGTTGATATACTTGTTTATTTTTTGCCATGATAATATCAAGAAAAAGTAGAAACTCAAATATTCAAGTGATTCAACGGTCAAACACGTTGGTAATAACATGAAATTATGGAAATAATAATTTATATTCTGATTTCTGATTTCTGTGCCCTGTGGTAATATGTTCATATCTTGAAGTTTTGACCTGACTGTTCGAAAATCGAAATCGGGTTACCTAGACGTTATAACCGTAGAAAAAGAATACATAATATTATAGTCTTATGCTGTGTTATAATAAAACTACCATATCGGTGTCGCGTAAAAAACAGTAATATTTCAGTCTACTTTAGTAATATAATTAGTATAATATTTAAATAATGAGTTGAGAGTTGACTGTTGTGTATTCTTTGTGTTTTGTTGTACTCTAATCAACTTGATTTCTTTAAAGTGCTAATCGAAAATGTCTGCAAAACTACCTAGCCCCAAACATTTATCTGTACTTAGGAAATATTTTGGTCATTCTACTTTTCGTGCTATGCAATGGGATATCATCTATGCAGTATTGGAGGTAAAGCTTTTGAATTTATATATTAATACTTAAGCAATCTTAGGTAGGTATTTAATGTAGAAATATTGTTTTTTCAGGAAAAGAGAGATGCTTGTGTTGTAATGTCAACGGGATATGGAAAAAGTCTTTGTTACCAGTATCCAGCAGTTTATTCCAAAGGCCTGACTATAGTAGTCTCACCCCTTATATCGTTAATGAAGGATCAAGTACTCTCTTTGGAGGTTAGTGTAAAAAGTAACACTATTGTTGTTATATTATTTTTTAATAATTTAGTTTATTTTAAATATTTCTGTGTTAACCCCTTAAATATGGTATTGCATAGATGGCCAATATAAAAGCATGTCTATTGGGTTCAGCGCAGTCTTCAAAAGCAAATGCCATTAACGATTTATTTTCCGGAGATGTTAGAGTTTTATACATCACTCCAGAATGGTCGGCCACGGAATCATCCAAAGGTATACTTGCAGATTTACAAAAAAAAGTTAAAATTGTTGCAGTTGCTATTGACGAGGCACATTGCGTTAGTCAGTGGGGATTTGATTTTCGATCTTCTTATAGGTTGGTAAATTTGTCAGTCGAAAGTTTTGCATTTTAATAATACCTATTGTGTCTACAGAAATCTAGGAAATTTGAAGAAAATGCTACCCGACGTACCTTTTTTGGCTTTAACTGCAACTGCGACACCGTTAGTGCGAAAAGACATTTGCAGTTCTCTAAAACTGAAGTAATAGTTATTAAATATACAATGTAGGAGTTTATTTTGTAGGTTTATAGATATATTTTTTTAATAGCAACCCAAAATATGTCTGTACCGGATTTGATAGAAAAAATTTATATTTTGAAGTTTCTTTAAAAACTAAAAGTATATACTCCGACTTAAGCAAACTTATGAAAAAGGATGGTTTGAAAGTTGACTTTGAAGGTGCGACCATAATATATTGTCCTACAAAAAAACAAACCGAAGCTGTTGCAATGGAATTAATGAGTATGTGATTACATTTTAATTAATTGTAACGTGTCTATGTACCCGTTACATGAATAATAATTGTAAGTTAACCTTATTGAATTTAATTGGTTGCAGGTAATCGAATCAAATGTGACGTTTATCATGCCGATATTGCTTTGAGCAAACGGAACTTGGTACATGAGAATTTTGTGAAAGACAATTTGCAAGTAGTAGTTGCTACAGTCGCTTTCGGCATGGGAATTGACAAACCAGGTTTGTAATAGAGTTCAACAACAATTTAATAGTTCATTTCTACTTTTTTATTTTTAATTAAAAGTTTACTTTTAAAATAATTGCAATTTTTATCTTCTTTAGTATTTTCTAGAGCTCTATCAACTTTTGAAACTTAAATTCAAAATGTTTAGCAAATAATTCTAAATTTAAAAATTCAATTAAATATATATGCTATCATTATGTTTCAAAACTTGATAAAGCCCTAGAAAATACAACAGGTAAAACCTGGAATATTGTCTGTTAACGTAAATTACATACACAAAAATGTTTTCAAAAAGAATAACTATAAAAATAAAATTATCTTAAGAGTAAACTATTTTACATATAGGGCATTAAAAAAATCATCTGGTTTATATATTTATAATGATAATTTTCAAGACTTTTACATGAGCTGCAAATAAGTTTGTTTTTTTCCCACCATTATTTCTAAATTAATTGTTTTTGTCATATTTCTTTTTGTTAAAATTAATCAAATTGTTTAAAAAATTTTAACTTAAAAATAAAAAATAAAAATAGTTAAGTTTTAAGATGCATACATATTTTATGGGTTAACTGTTTAGTAGATACATTTAAAAGTGAATTGCGAAAGGGTTTCAGTGAAAAATGTGTTCCCTCGCCGTGTACCTTTATGATTACAGCACTGTTCATAGTATATAAACTGTAGACATTATTTTTGGTTGATAGATGTTCGCCGGGTAATACATTATGGTGCTCCAAAAGACATAGAGTCATATTATCAAGAAGTTGGTCGTGCCGGCCGCGACGGTTTGCCGGCAACTTGTCATATATTTTACAATCAGGCAGACATTTTGCTTAATAGACATATTATATTTGCAAATTTGACTAACAACGCTTATCGAGCACACAGGGAAAAAATGGCAAAAGTCATAGAGCAGTTTTTAGAAACCAGAAAGTGCAGACGAGAATTATTATTAACATACTTTGAAGATGATACTACTGTTACAAAGAGCGATGATAATATTGCTAAGAACAATAATTGCTGTGACAATTGTACTCACACGTATGATAATATATTTATTATTTAATGTTGTTGTCAGTTATTTTGTACAAATTAAAATATAATACTATTTTATACTATAGCCAATTGTATGGTGAAAAAAAATCAAATAGATCTATAGATCTTACTGACGATATTCAATTAGTTTTACAATGTGTGGACGCTGTGGAAGGAAGATTTGGTCTTATACTGACTGTGAATTTTATTTGTGGTAAAAAAAATGAAAAATTCTACCAACGTTTATTAAATCATGAATTGTACGGCAAAGGAAAATATAACACTGAACCTTACTGGAAAGCATTAAGTAATTAAGTTATGGCCCTAAGAGGGATATAATCTGAAAATTTAACCAAGAACAAATTTTTTTTTAGCCAAATTGTGCCTTAGAGAAAGTTTAATCCAACAAATACCGTGTAACTCATTTGGGCAGGGTAATACAAATTTTTTTCCGATTAATACAATTGCCGTTTCAAAAAAAGGTTATGAGTTTATGAAAAAGTAACTTTATTTAATATAAGAGTAAAATAAAAATTATTTAATGTAAGAGTAAAATAAAAATTATTAATATGAGAAAACAATTTTTTTAGGGGAAAAAATACTAATATCGAAATAGATCCATCGGATGAGGTGTTACGATTGTTTAAATCGAAACATTTAAACAGGTAAAATATTGAAGTGATAACAATGAATTGGGTATAAGTGAATTTGATAAAACTTGTCCAAGTGAGTAAAGTGGAGATTATATTTTCACTATGGATTTGTTTTTGAAAAAAATATCACATCCTTTTGGTTTTTGTTTCTGCTGTCAGTTCAATTAAAAAATAAAAACCATAAGTTAAAATCTTATTATCAACAGTTAAAAAATATTTCAGTTCAAATGAATCAGCCCACGGACGATGGGTTGGAACCTTAGAAAAGAGACTACAAGATCCGGTTAACAAATTTATTCACCAAAGTCAACAAGACGACAATAAACAGACTGAAGAAAGTAGCAATTTAGAAGTAAAAAACATTCAATCACAATTAATAAACTTATTCCTTTAAATTTAACAGACTTATTTTACACCGTGTGGATATTTTGTAGAACAAACTGTACTCGTCATTAGTCATGTACCGAATGACTTTGGCACGACAATCAGATTGTATGCCATACATGGTTGCCAGTAATAAGATGTTAATTGACGTGGCTAAGTTGAAACCTAAGAGTGTTGCTGAATTAAAAAACAGTAAGTGTGTAAAACTGAATTTTCTTATTCAACAAACAACTTAAAACAAAAGATCATAGCTTCAAAATTTCTTTATTTTTGAAATATTTTCTTCTAATATTCTAAAAAATTCAATGCAAATAATTTTGTCAAAAATTCAATAAAAAAAAAAAAAATTTACCCAAAGAAATTTGTATTCTGATGAGCTGTCTTTATAAATACATAAAAGGTAGTAAATATATATTTAGAAAACTGAAAACACGTTTGCGGTTCTACTTCCAATAAAGTTCTACCCCATTGAATAATAAATAATGAATTTTTTTTTGACCTATTAAATATTTTTTTGTTATTTAATAAAATGATTTGTTACTTCATAAATCATAGATAATCTGTTTTTTTTGTTATTTATAGAAAACATATTATTTTAGTAAATCTTAAATTTATTTAAAATAAATGTCCACAATTAATGAATTACAAATGTATATTTTTTAGATAATTTGCATCTGTATAATATTTGGAAAGAGTGAAAGAAGTTTTAAAAAATGTATTAAATTTAATTAGACAACAATTATTGTTTCATTATTAATTAATAAAAGATAATAAAAAATTGTTTAATTGAATAATAAATGTTTAAATAAAAGATAATTTTTTATTTAACGCTTCATCTAGAATAATGTCCAACTCTGCCAAAATGAAATAGTATTTGTAAAGAACTGCCCCACGCTTGCTGAAAGTTCTTACTTGAATTCCTTACCATAATTTCATTCTGAACTTACTGTTGCTATTAGAGAGTCTACTTCATAATGCATAAAAAATCATCTCTTCCCTTTTAAAATAGAGAAAAACACAATATTTCAATTTATAAATATTATGTCAACTAAAAAATAATTGTTTTGACGTCTAATAATAAAATTACTAAGTAAAAAAAAATTAGTGTGGTGTTTTAACTTGAAGTTAAAACTTTCATCTAGAACACTGTGTGTTGCTTAGTTGATTCAAAATTGAAAACAAAATATATTTTTTAGTCGAGGGATTTATCGATGCGAAAATAGAGCGTTTCGGTCCAGCAATAATAGACAAAGTAAAAGAAATCTGTAGTAAATTTGAATGGATTACAAAAGTTGAGGAATCAAGCCAATGTTCAACAAGGTAAACATTTAATTGATTCAAAGTAAGTGTTCGACAAAATAACCTAATGATTATTGTTTTAAAATTCAGCCAAGAAACCAGTGTTTGCGATAGTCTATGGGACGAGTGTGACGATGATATCTTTAGTGATATTTGCGAAGTAAAAGAAATTGAATTGGCCAAAAACCAGTGTGAAATTAAAGTAACCAGCGAGACTATTACGAATCATTCCACTTCTATTACAACAACCACTCCAAAGAGAAAGTATTGTTCCATCGAAAAGGACTGCTCGCAAAAAAGTATAAGTGAAATTAAACAAAAAAAGAAAGCTATGATAAATCAATTAAAAAAAAATACTCTTTTTAAGTAATTCAAATAATAAAAGAGTGCTGTATGTGTTCAACTAATATTATTATTATTTAAAAAGAAAAGAGCAATACTTTCAGTCTGATTATTTTTTATTATGATTATATAAACTTAAGCAAACATTTCTTTATATCTTATTGTTCTGTGATATTTATTTTATTAAGAAAAATGTATGTAAAACTTGTATATAGATTTATTATTAAGAGTAATTAATTCAACAATTTATTTTTATTTTTTATTTTTATAATCACTACTAAGAATTACGTTATTATACTTTAAAAAAAAATTAAAATATTAAACCTAAAATGTTTAGCTAGCAAGTTGATTTTAGTTAAATAGTCTGCTGTCTGTTGCATTCAATAAATACTTATCTTATTTTCAAATAAGAAATGGTTGTTGACTGGGCTATTTTTTATTTAAAAATCAAATTTTGTACTGGTTAAAAAAGTCATTAAAATCATATTATAACTGCTATGATAACCTGATTATAATTTAATTACAGATAAATTAAAGAATCTTTATTTCTGTACTTGTTAAAATTACATTTAGTTTTAGCTTATGCTTTTACCCTTAATCAATAGAATAGTAGAACTTCTTAGACGGATATGTATTTAAAATATATTTTTTTGTATAAAGAACATTTTTTCCCATAAAATATTAACTCTTACTATGTAGCAATTAGTATAAAACAATTATAACCTGTACCATTGGCCAGAAATGGGTTAATAATACCAAATTTTTACCAAACTCCTATTTTATAGTATACATAAGGATTTGATCTTTGTATCATTTCTTAAAGAAATTTTTATTTTTTAACTCTATTTTTTCTAAAAAAAATGTATTTGATTATTTGGGTTTTCCGTTATAAAAGCATAATTACAGATATTTAGATATTTCTTTGTTAAAATTTTAAATTGAGAATAATCTACTGAACATTAAGACTGGACGATTGTGAAATTCATAGTACATGTAATTTCAACAATTTTCTGTAGCGGTAATTTGTTTTTTGTTAACCAAAATACCATGTTGTTTTATAATTTTGTTTTTACAGATAAAACATTTTTTTTGTAATGGTAACGGTCTATTCAATTTTCGGACGTGTAATCCACTTAATAGTAATATTTATTCTAGAAAAACAATTTCATGACGATTTTACTGTATTAATAAATAGTATTAACTATTAAGGTTTGCTATTTGAGTCGTCCTTCTGATTCCCTTTGCATGCAAGTTCATTCTTGGGTTTTCTGAATTTCACCCTGAATTAAAATTTGAACTGGAATTAAATAAAAAGTATCAGTTTTTAATATAAAATGTAATCTGTTTTATTATAGTCAAATAACAAAACAATTGGCGTTTGTAAACAGAATAATAATAATATTAACACTACGGCATCTTAAATATAATAACAAAGTAAGGCACTACCTACACAAGACTATAATATGCATTATAAAATATGACATATTTGTGTAAATTATAAACTATATATATTATATATAGGTACATAATTTATAAATTATAATGATGATAATACATAGAATAATGATAAAATAATAATATATTTATTAGGCAGATGTAACACATATACATTTTAAGTAGTGCAGTATTATTATTGCATAAATGATTTATAACTTAAAATAAATTTCACAGGAAGTATCTAGAATGAAATTATTATTAATGAGGGACTTAAGTATGTATTCAAATAAAAAAACTGTTAAAAATATGATTTAAAAAAAATCAACCGCCCCAACATAACAGAAAATGAATAAATGGTTAAAAAATAAACGTTTCAATAATTTAAATATAAGGTATACAATATAGTTTTCTTTTACACAACAGTATACAAATTCCAACGAGTATACAATTGTTTGTAATACTGCAGGTTTCAATAAACTTAATTATAATAAAAAGACTATATGATCAAATAGGGTTTACCACATACAAAAATATAATTTAATAAAAATGTAATTTAATCACTATTCAAATTGATCGTAGTTTTCAATAACAATATTCGTAATATTTATTTACATATTTTACGATCTTAATTATTATTGCATTAATTATAATAATGCACCTACCTATAATTTAAAAATAAAAACTAAACATTGTTCTTGTCCTATATTTATGTAGTTTGCCGGAAACGGTAATAAATTAATAACAGCAATGATACATACATATTATTATCGTATTAAGATAATTAAATAGTTTGTGTATAACTAATGGCACACTGGATTAAATATATATAAACAAACAAATTATTATTAGTAACGACGATTAAAGATTGGTAGCTTTTTTCTTGCGGAACAGGCTGGACAGAACGCTGGACCGTTTGTCCTTGCGACCTATGGGCGACTGGTGTTCGCTCTCGCTTGAACTTTCACTAGCCCTGTGTTGGTTCAGGCTAGATACAGGCGGTAAGGTTGATGACCGATTGGGCACCATCGGAGGTTGTTGTTTGATCGCATCAACATTGGCATACACTGTAGAATTAAACACGATTTATCAAAATTCCGTAATTTATTGAACATTTTCTAATCTCAAGTTTAACTAAAATCAACGATCCGTGTATGTATAATGTCCGATAAAATAATTATGTAAATTACTTAAACACTAACTAATTGTTATAGTGCGCCATTAACCCGGCAAAAACTGTGAGTACCTATCGTTCACGCTGTTTTACCAGTTTTCGTGCTTTTTAATTGATAAGTTAATTATTTTAGTAAAAAATGTGGACAAGGTAGATTTACATATTTATATTGGTCCTGTTAAAATTGTAGTGCCTTTTGGTATTAAATAAAAAAAAATTAATTTAAATAATAATTTGTGTTACGAGTATCTCCTATTCCACATTTAATTAAACCAAGTATATGTAGGTACTATGTTAATACATTTAGTAGGTATGTAATGGTGTTGTAATGGGGTTTAGGCGCCCTCGGCTAATTCATCGATTATGTAATATTCTCTTTAATTAACACCACATTATAGTAATTAATACATTTAAAATTAACACATTTTAATTAATTTGGTTTTTATGCAAAATTATTCCAAAAGTATTATAAAATATAGAGTTTTGTTTACAAATAAAAATATAACTTGAATTTATATGATACTAGTTGTTTCGATACGCATTAATATTACTTAACGCAACTTTAGAATATCTTGTCCATAATTTCGTTAATAATATTCCATTAGATCAACATAATAATTATGTTAGTCTAATGGAAAATATATCTAAAAAAAAAACATTAATTAAGGCTATATTCTATAAAATAATTACAAAGGGATAGATTTTACAATTAAAGAAGGTTTGTTTTTTTTTTACTATGCTAATTGCTAGTACTAAATATATTTTTAACATAGTATATTATTGGAAAGGTATATATTTGAATTTTTAACGGCTCATAAACATTTAATGGTCTTTTTATGTTTATGTAATGATTTATTAACTTTTTAGTTAAAGTTCACGTAACTTGGGTTATGCATTAGTACCTAATGAGGATTATACACTATACAAATATGTATAGTTCTCAAATTACAGACTAGTCAATAGGTACTCAACAGAATAAAACGTACCTGCGCTGTTTCTATAATCTGACGTCCACGTGTCCCGGTTTCCCGCTTTTATTGGCGGTGCAGTTGTCGGTAATGGTGGCGGGGTAACGTCTAAAATGAAATCGTGAGCATACATAAATTACAAAATATTAAGTATGTTAACAAATATATACCAGGCGATTTGATGTGATGTCCGTCTTTACTCCAGTCGTTGTTTCCATTTGCGTAGTAAGAATGAGGCCGGGATGGGTAACCGGTAGGAGGTATTTTAGAAGCGTAATCCGTAGTATCTGGAACCGAGTTAAAACCAATTTATTTCAGAAATGCGAAACAATATTACAACCAAGATTCCTTTATGTCTCGTAAGAGTACCTTGATGGTTCTGGTAAGGGATGTTGTCAACTGATGGTGGACGGACAGGGATGGGCCGACGGATTTGGCCGTCTTTCTTGGGCGTGACTGTGGCCGGCATGGGTTTTCGGTCGGTTTCTGGCGTTGTGGCCGCACTTGAGCTGGTGCTGATAACCGTTGACGGTGCTGGTGTCTTGTCAGACTGAGGTGACCCCTGAAAACGAGAATGTATACCATTAGTTTGTTTCGAAAGGCAACCGACGCCGTACGCTCAAAATTGTTACCTTTTGGTTGTCGTCGTAGCTTAACAGCTGTAAACTAGGCGGTAACTGTGCATGGAAAGTTATTTTGTTGACCCACTCTTCCATTTCGTTGGAAGTTTCGGCAAGAAACAAGAATTCAGAGCCGTCAGTGCAACACAGCCTGTACATGATAAAGAAACTACGATTAGTGAACGAAGAACACATTTAGGGTGACGGAAACGCGAAGCTAATAACATTCTATCAAACATCTGTTTAGATCTCTGTGACAATAAAGGCTAGGAGGAGCAGTTTTATGAACAACAAGGAACTGAAGGTCTTTAAATAAACACTGAATTTTTTTTTGTGGAGCGGTTAAAACGATATTGATGGATTAAAAGATGTGCGCGCAAGACAGTTTACTGGTATGGGTTAAAAAGTTAGTAAATGGTAGTTGAAGTACCTAAACACGTGTTTTCGCTTTGTATAGTCGAATGCTTTCTCACATTTGGCTTTGAAAATTATTATCGGCGATGTCGCAGCTTTGCTGGCCACAAAGTCTTCTTGGTCCTTAAAAAAACATAAAAGCTGGCCACACAATACTGTTGTGACGACCGTACGGTTAGATTGTGATTGTCGTTATTAAATCATCTTACAACAATTACCTGTATAGAATGTCTTCCATGATCTAACTGCTGCTTTTTTGCCGCTGCTTTGTAACTCGTGTTTTCTATCTAGGAATCCTTGAATTTCTACCGGAGGTAGCTGTTCCAAGTTCTCTAGTTTCTGTAATTTTCGGAAACTTTGAGTCCTCCTACGTGTGGTAAAACTGGGTGTCCGTTTGGGTTTTTTGTATGTGTCCGCTTTCATGCTTTCGGCTCTCTTGACGTCTGTAAAAAAAAAAGGATAAAATTTAACGTATCAGCCTGTAGGCTCGATGAAAAATTATTTCGATTTTTTACCTTTCTTTAATCGGTTGCTGAATATAGATGAGAAGGTTCCACTATTACTCATAGCTGGCGATCCAGGTACCATAAGCCTAACATATAAAAACACAATTACAATTTTCACACTAATTTAATTTTGTTTTATGTTAGCGGTATCTGAAATAAAATAAAGTTGTAACGTGAATGTTAAAAAATTAAACCATCAACGATCCATGGAAAAAAATTAAGCGAGGTAGAAAGAAATAAATAATTCTCAAATTTGGAAATAACCCCGCGCCCCCAAACAAAATTCGACCCTGTTAAGACTTTTAGCTAAGCGCTTAATAAAATCCATATTTTAGGTAAACTAAACATTTGATGGGTTTATACAAACACATTTTCTGGGTGTTTTCGAGTTTAAGGTTGTATTAAACTCTGAAAGTTCTAGTAAAATAATTAGCGTTAACTTAAATCTTAACAGTAAAATTGACTTACGTCGTAGAGCCTCCCTCGTTAGGCCAGGAAGATCTAGTCGATACTTCTTCAGCCGTTTCGGTCGACTCTAATATTTCACTGTCATGCAATTTATTTTTATCATGCATTCTTAAGAAGAAAAAAGAAAACATAGAAGGTAATCCACAGTAAAATATAATTGCTGAATAAATCAATATTTTTGAGAGAGCCCGGAGTTATAGTAAATTGCATGTAAAAAAAATGTATCAAAGTTAAAGTTATTAATGATTTTCTAAAAATAACACCTACAAAATTGTTTAGAAAGTAAAAATAGCTTAAAACTTACTCCTATGACATATTTTGGGTTTGATATGTTTATTTATTTATTTTGTTAATTTTTTTTTTTTGTGTTTACTAATATTTGATTTATTTATTTTGTCTTTACAGTTTTAAATTTTAACTATAATTGATGTATAAAAAATATTGATAATTTTGCTGTCGTTGTTGAATAAACTTGCTTGATTAAAGTTATATCTCTCTAAATGACATCATATTAAACTTATAACTTTTTATACTTTTCAAGTATGTTTAACATTGAAAATGTACATTCATATTGAAAGTAAAATGCTTGCCTATGAAATTAATTAAACATACACAATTCCGGGCTCTAAGTATACACATCAAATATTGAATAAATTAAAGACTTTTATATTATAGTTTTATTTTCCATTAAAACGTGCTAAGCGAAAAATGTAATTTAACATGCAAAAGTTCAAGAAGACTGAAGACAAACAAATAAAACAATTAACATTTGCAGGCGTTTTAGAAGTTAAATGATGCCTATTACCTCATATTCGGGTCGAATTGATCGTCATCACCATTAGTCACTTCGCCGCCAGAGTTAACTTTCCACCTATCTCCTTCTCGCTTTCTTTCCTGTTAAACGGAATTATTTAAATTATTTTAAGTCCACACATAATCATTATACATTGTTATAAAATACTACATCAGTAATGCGTTGAACTTCGCGTTGTTTACGAGCTTCAAGTCTTTCTCGTTCAAGACGTTCCTTCTCAGCCACACGAGCTTTTTCTTCGGATTCTAACTGTTTCTTGAATGCCAACTCTAACTGCATAACAATTACTGTTATTTATAATACAAAAAACTACAACTAATTCGAAAAGTCTTACCATTGTAATTCTTTTCAATGTATTGAATTTGTCTTCTTGAGCTTCTATAGTTTTTTCGAAGTCTTCGTGTTTTCTGATGAGTTCCTCGACTTGCCATATGGAATCTCCTAATTTTTCATCATTCAACACCGGCTCACGGGACTGTATCCACGATTCTAATAAATCTGCGTCTCGTTTAAATAGCTGACAAAAAAATAAAAATAAATACATATTACATTTGATATGAACAAACAAATATATAATAGGAAATCCGTAATAACCAGCCATAATCAATACCTGCGTGTCTAAATTCTGTTCGTACAAGACCTTTCGATTTTCCCAAGTATTAGTCAAAATGTTATGTCTCTGTTCAAGAATATTAATTTTTTCTCTAATCTCGTCGGACATGAAATGACCCTAAAAGCGATATCAATCAAGTTAACATGTAAGATGTGTTGTTTTTACACTAATTTACCTTTTGGATGAGAATTTTGCCAGTCTGATAAAATTCCCCCAAAGCCTCCGACCTGCTAGTTATTTCTGCGTTGTACTCTTGATGTCGTAGTATCAGCATTTCCGCTCCACTCACGTCTTGGCTTAGCGTCGGCGATGTAACTTTAGCAATAGTTTCGTTAATCCACGCTCTGATAAAATACATTGGAAACAATTATTTATTTATAATTTCACGTGTACACGATTTATTTTTACACGGCCTTACATCAAATGTCTATACTGATCGAAGTAAGACTGCAAATGTTCTGCTTGGTTTAGCTTGCCCTTCCTTTGACTCGCATCTTCCAACAGTGTAGCCCAAGCATCAACAGCTTCTTCTTGTTTCACTTCAATGTGGTCCTTAGCATCGGGAAACATAGCCGACAGTCGACCGGCTTCTTGTACAACGCATTCCACCTAAATGTAATTTATTTATTATAATCCAATGGCTGAGATGATTTATTTTATTTAAAAAATAAAATATTACCTGTTCTTTGACTGCGGCCAAGTCGGCTTCGAACCCTTGGTGTTTTTGTATCAGAGTCTGTATTGTGTCTAGATCGTGACCATAATCTTCAGCTGCTAAAAGAGCACCTTTCTCTTGTATCCAACTAATCGTTTCGTCGGCTGTACGATCGAACACGTGTACTTGTTTAGCACCCATTAGAGCCTAAATAAAATGTTTAATTTAATTTCCTGCACGAAATTAAAAAGAATATGTTTTTACTTCTTGTCTGGCGTTAGCTAATTCTTTTAGATCGTCCCAAAGCTGTTGGGTATCTTCTAGTCTAATTCTAATCTGATCTCGTTCGGGGTTGTCTTCCTCGAGCAGCTTGTGGCCAGCAGCTATGCAGCTCAATATTCGACCTTCGCTACCATTCAATCCGCTGAGGAAACTCTCGAAAGCCTTAAAAATAAAATAAAAGCTCAATGTTAGTATTTTGGGTTTATGTAAAACGTGTTATTCATATTACTTGAATCAGAAGTTCGACGTGCTCGACGTCTCGACCGTAGTCTTCTGACGCGGCGACTGTGGTTTGGTCTCCTATCCATTCAGCCACGTCTTCAGCTTCGCGAATGAATTTATACAATTTTCGGCTCTCCATTAATCTGGTGGCTCTTTTTTTGTTTAACGTACACAATTCTGTGTACACTTCTTCAATATCAGTCTAAAAAAAAATAAATCTTTTAACGTTAAAAAAAAAAAAACAAAGGAAATTTGTTTACCTGTTTGTGTAGAATGTTTTCTGAATCAAAATGTGAACGGCCAACGAGATCCCGACTGAGTTTTGCTAGTCGTTCTAGCGTATGCTGAAACGTATTTAATTCTCTTTCTATTCCTTCAAGTTTCTTCATTAGCGTTAAAACCGAATCTTCATCTCTGCCATAATCATTGGACGCTAACAACGGATACTTTTCTTTCAGCCATACTTCAGCTTCGTTGGCTTCAGCGTAGAACTGTGCAAATTAATGTTCTTAGTCGATCGTTTTTATGTACAGTTTTTGTTTGTATTCATGCTTACCATTTGCGACTCATAGGCGTCTAGAAGTTTTTGTTTTCTGATCTTAGACTCTCGTTTGAGTAAGACCATTTTTTCTTGAAGAACGCTATAGTTGGCTTCAATTTGTTGCGCAGCAAAATGACCACCACTAACCATTTGCTGTCCTCGGCCTACTAAGCCGGTGACTACAGGTTCGTGGGATATTAATTCGGCTTCTAATGCCTTGAAAATAAAAAATAAATATTTAAAATGTGATGTCTTGAAACTTTTTCGTGAATCTATATAATGTTAGATAAATAAATACCTGATGTTTATTTTGTAATGCTTGGACAGAATGTAAACTTGTACCAAAATCAGTTGACATGATCAGCAATTCCTTATCGCCTATCCAAGTCATTTCTTCTTCTATATCTCGCAACAACCGATAGTGTATTAGAGCGTCTTCGAGATTATCCCTGCGTATTTGCATTGGCTCTTGCAGGGAATGATATCTATGATTCAAATGGTTTTAGTAACAAAGGGTCAGGATCAGCAAAGACAATGCTGATAATTCTTTCTTATAATTACGAACCTTTTTATAACCACTTGAGCTTTCTCTTGTATTTCATCCTTCATGAAGTGATCGGAATTTTGGAATGACAGAGCAGCATCTTTTAATGATTGACAAGCTTCGCCATGACTGTGCACGTCATTTTCCAACAACGAATGTCTTTTTAGTAAATTAACTACACTTTGTAAATCTTTGCCATGGTCCTCGGATTGAAGTTGCATTTCTACTTCTTCTGTCCACGCTTCGAGTTCTTCTAGCGTACGGTTAAACAACAGTGCCTAGAAAATGTATAACAATTAAATAGATTTACTTAGATAACATCAAGTACAGTTGAATATATACTTGGTAAGCGTCTTGTAAACGTTGTTTTTTAAGAGCGCTCATTTCTTGCAAGTTCCACCACTTTGTTTCGAGCTCGTCCAGCCTTACTCTTATTTCCATGCTTGCAAAATGACCACTACTAATCAAGTTTTCACCTTCTGTGCAGATCGCGTTGACTCGTGTACGGTTTGCGGTTAGTTCGGAATCGAAAGTAGCATGTTTTTGTATTTTGCGTTGTAAATTCGTAGAGTCTCTGTAGTTTTCATCTCCAGCGACTTGTTGTTTTTGAATTATCCATCCTTCAACCTAAAATCCGCACACATTTAAGAATTGTGATTGCAATTCATTTTATTATCAATAATATGGAGTGTATAAATCAAACTTACCTCATACATGTTTCTCAAAAACTGTTGCAAAAGTCTTGAGTCGTTAAGACGTTTTTTTCGCGAAGCAGTAGCCTCTTTTAGCCTATCTCTGCGATTACAAATACCCACTAGCCTGCTTTGCACTCCTTGGCTGTCATAATGCTGACCTGTTACAAGTTCTAAAGCATACTTCTCTAACTCTTCGACTTTGGCGAGCTGAGCCGTAAGGGTTTTTTCGAACGCTTCGTGTTTTCTTATTAGTTCTTCCACGCTCGACAACGATTCCTATAAAAATGGATTTTCCAAAAGTTATTAAAAAAATTAATTTAAATGAACTAATATATTTTTATTTCACTTACCCCTAGGTCATCGTTACTTAAGAATGCTTCTTTCGACGTCAACCAGTTATCTACTTGATCAGCTTGATTTCTAAATATTTGAAGTTCTAACGCTTGGCTTAAAATCATTCTCCTTTCTTCCCAGGCAGCGCTTAATGTACGCCGTAGTTCGTCTAAATGAGCGAGTTCTTTTTCTGGAATGGGATTAATTTTTAGTCCAGATTCTTTTAAATTTTTAAAATGTTCTTGACGTCCATTTATTTCCGCCTTTCTTTCTTGATTTAACTCGAGTAAAGCTTTGGCTTCCGCCATGTTTGCTGGCATGTCATGTGCTTTTATTTTCTTGATAGAATCTACAACCCAAAGTTCAGCTTCATTTAATTCTGACAAGAACTTTTCTCTAATGTAAGCCTCATTTAAAGCCTCTCTTCGTTTCTTTGATAGCATGTGTAAGTTTCTCCAATTATCTTGTATTTCCGACAACTTAGCTTTGATGGGAGAAGACATATCTGGATATTTTTGAATAAGTCTTCTGCACTCCAATTCATGTTCCTTTGTTTTTCCTTCGATTGCTGTCATGTCTCTTTCTAGCGTATCTTGCTTCCTTTGAAGTTGCTCGACACCACCAAGATTCTTACCAGTTTCGTTGCTAGACATTGCCAACGCTTTCTCACTAACACGCTGCAGAGTATCATCAACATCTCTATTAAACGAGTGTATCTCCAAAGCACCATTGAGGTGTTCTCTGTACTCGCTCAGTGCTCCTTGAAGAGCCTTCCATCTATTCAAAAATAAAGACGTTTTAAATATATTAACTACATTTATTAAATACGTATAAATAAGGTAGTTTAGTTTCATACTTATTGTTTAAATGTTGACGACGTTGTTGGATAGCTTGTGTGTCACTACGACCTTGTCTTATAAGCTTATCAGCCAAATTATTTATACTTTCTATTTTACTCTCATCCACTCGATTATCTATATCTTCAAGTTTTCTTTGAAGTGCTAAGCAATGTTCATAGTCTAAGCCCATTTCTCCAGCTTGTACCATCATTTCCTATACACACACAATTTTAAAGTTAATTCTATTATAATATATACTATTTTGTGAATGTATTCACTTACTTTATCTCTTATCCAAGTCTCTACTTTATCTACTTGGTTATTAAACTCCAAAATATCTTGTGCCTCTTCTAATCCTCTACCCTTTTCGTTAGTTTCTTGTAAAAGATTTCTCCACAGTACTAGCAATTTACCTAAGGAGTCTTGAATATCTTTTGAATTTTTATGCTTCTTTTCAATAAGCATATCGGCTAAAAATAAAATAAAATATATAGATACATTATTTATTATGTAATTTATATTAATAATAGATACCATTATGTTTTATGGAATTTATTCTTCCTTGATTGGCAGATAATTCAGCTTGGAATGCTTGATGCTTTTGTAATTTTTTGATTTTTTCTTCTAAATTGTTAACGTCGCCTTTACTGATTTCTACATCAAGTTTTTTACGCTTTTCACTTATCCACGATTCAGCTTCGCCAACATCACGCAAAAATTGTGCATGTAGTAAAGCGTCGTCCAATATTTGTTTTCTTAAAACACTAAGTTTTCTTATTTGAACTCGTCTTGCTAAAACTTCATTCAGTCTTCGGGAAATCAAATCACTTTCAAAATGATTTTGACTTAGTAATTTATCACAGTGTTCTTTTAATAAAGCTACTTTTTCTTCTTGCGTTTCAAATAATTTTTCAAATCCCTCATGTTTCTTTACTAAAGCTGTAACTTGGTCCACAGTATTTCCTAAAAATCAAAATTAATGTTAAAATAACACATGAATTGTATTTAAGTTTATTTACACACCATATTCTAAGCTTGCTGCTAATGCAACTTCTTGTGTATTACAAATAGTATCTATTTGCTTAGCGTCCCGGAGGAAGAACTGCAAATCTATGAGTTGATCCAGATGTACTTTTTTGTGGTGCCACGAGGCATGTAGTTGATGACGCTCTTCCAGTAAGTGATTTAGTTTTTCTTGAATTTCCTACATAAAGAACTAGGTTAAGCCCTTCTTATTTTTTAAACTACGAATATATTACATTTGCCGCAAAATGGCCGCCTTGCACAAGAGCCTCTCCAAGATCAGCAACTGTCTGGAATGTTTCTTCTCGCGCTTCAATTTCAGCTTTTACAGCTTCGTGTTCTCCTTTTAAAAGTTGAGCGCTAGTCGCATCTCTCACTTTTTCTTCTGTTCGCATAGTCGCTCTAAGACTATTCGACCAATTTACTAAATCTCTTACCTATAAAACCAATTTATAAATATTAAAACTAGTAACAGTACTGTTATAAAAGCTACATTTATTATATTTACTTGAGCTAAAAATCGATGTAAATCGCAACTAGCTTGTAGAGCTTCCCGTCTATGTGCTGAGCGATCTTGTAATAATGTCCAGCTTCGAACTACAGTTTCTTGTTGTTTAGCAATGTGATTGGCGTTTGACCCTGGGTAAAGTGTTTGTAATTTTACTGCATCTTCGACCAAAATCTAAATAAAGTATAATTATTAATATTACAATTTGTATTTAAATTAATCGTGTAAATAACAATAATCAACATAGTCAAAATATTGCTTACTTGAAGCTGCGCTTCTAGAGCCACCAGGTCATTTTCGAATCCTTCGTGCTTTCTGATTAATGTCAGCACGGAGTTGAGATCTCTCCCTAAATCATCTGATATTGTGGCATCCTTATCACTTATACGAGACAACGCATCTGCGACGTCTCTGTGGAATCTATGAATTTCTCCTGCGGCTTTCAAACGTTTTTCTCGATTTTCCAATGTAACAATTAGCTGCTGCCACAAGTCTCTGACTTCTTCTTGTCTTTTCTCGATTTCAGGTGTATATTCAGAATCGTTAGCTATTAATTTATTGGCAAGGTCTTCACATTGATTAAACCTATTAGAGCCGGTCTCCACCCGATGTTTCAAATCGTCAAATTTATTTTGCAACACCTAAAGATAATTTATTTTTGTTTAAAGCCGCTCTTCATTTATTGGCGTAATACTATTAAATAATTTACCAAAAGATGTTCAAAATCTTGACCATAATCTTCGGACGAAGCAGCTTGTACATTGTCCCTTATCCATTGTTCAAGTTCGTAGCTTTCGATTAAAAACTCATGTCTTAACAAAATAATATTATAAACAGTTTGCATAAGAAATATTGTTATAGCTATTTAATCGCAAAATACCTGCACATGCTTTCAACCAAATTATGTTGTCTTGACGTAGCTAGTTTTTGCAATAATTTAAATTGCTCACAAATATATTGTTGTTTTGAAGATATTGCTTTTATATCGGGATGCTTGAGATTAACCATTGTGTTTCCAGTATGACACATTTCTTTCACAATACCTTCATAGGTGTCGAGTTCCAATTCTAAAGCCTGAGAAGTAACCGAAAAGTATAAATGTATTAGTTTCTTCTTGAGTTAATACTTTCAATGATTATTCTTTGTATTTACCTTGTGTTTTGTTAAAAGTTTAGATGCTGCGTCTCGGTCCCGACCGCAATCTGATGATTTTAGTATATTATTTTTCTCGATGAGCCAACTTTCGATTTCACTTGCCTCAAAGAAAAATTGTTGTGCTTTTAAATTGAGTTCCAGCTTACGATTTCTGTCTTCGCTTTTTGCCAGCAAATCTTGCCAAGCGTCTTCAAGACCAGTACACAACGACGATACCTAAACAAATATTTATATTTTTGTCATAAAATTTGTTATAAAATTACATACATATTTTTGCAACATTTGTATATTTTAAGGTCTTACTTGTTTCGTTTCAGGATGCTTCTGATGTATAAGTGCTTGTCCTGTTTCGAGTGTTTTATTGATCATAGATTGATGTCCTTGTATTTCGGCTTCGAGTTTTTTGTGCTTCTTGTGCAACGTTTGGGCTTGATGAAGATTGGCGCCTAGTTCGACAGATTCAACTAGTGGCAAATGTTCACGGATCCAACCGAGTTCCGCTTCCAATTCGAATCCAAATTTATGGAAACGCAATGATTCATCCAGAGCTTCTTTTCTCTGTTTTAGTGGCTCGCTCAACCCATTAAACCTAAAATCGCATTAACACCATTTATTTCCTGTGTAATTTATTACAACCAATTTTACTATACTTACATATTTTGACAATTCTTGCTAGATTTCAATATATTTTCGCCGTCAAAATGGCCATCTTGGGCCATTTCATTTCCAGCAAATACCAAATCGTCAATTTTGGTTTTCCAATGTTGAATTTCAGTTTCTACGACTTGATGATTTTTCAAAAGTTGTTTGCAGTGCCTAAGATCTGTGCCTACTTCTTGTGACATTAAGTTCGATTTTAGTTCTTCGTATTTAAAGTGAGCATCGTCTAAAGTTCTATTATAAGTGTGTTGTGCCGACGCTTGTCTGAGACACCTTCCTTTAGCTACGCTCACTTCGACTAATTTCTTCCAGTCGTTATTGAGGTCACCTAACATTGTTTTGACTTCCTCTTTGCGGTAGTTTTCTTCGTTTATTAAACTCTGGCCACACTAAAGATAAACGGTAGGTAAGACATCTCGTACAGTAAGTTGAATTTATTTTGTACAAAAATAAATATTTTACCTTGTTAATATTTCTAAGCTGACCCTCGTTTGCTCGCAGTTCGCATTCAAATGCTTCGTGTTTTTGTAACTTCCGTTCTATATTTGTTAGGTCCCTATATGATTCGTCACTTGCTGTCTTCAGTTTATCAGTAAGCCACGTCTTTAGATCATCGACGTCTGCACAGAAAGCTTGATAATTTCTGCTGGCAATCAGAGCATTTCTTCTAACTGCCGCTTGATCCTTAACTAAATTTCGCCTTTGTAATACTGCTTCTTTACGCTTATCAATACTAAAACGGATAAAACGTATAAAAAAATCATTTCTTTACTAGTCGTGCTATTATATATTACTGTTTTTTGTCATAATGATCAGTCGAAATTAGTTTGTTTGCCATTTCACAAAACGTTTTCAATCGTTCATCCTGAGCATAAAGTGAATTTTCAAAATCTTCGTGGCGTTTCAAAAGCGATTCGACATCATCAATAGACCCCTAATATCAATTACAGTTTAATTAAAATTGCTCTCAAATAAATACTTTCAACTTACTCCCAAGTCAGTGTACTCCAAAAACATTTCGCTTCCTGACGTGGCAGCGTCAATGTGATCGGCCTCTTTATTGTATATTTGTAGAGCTAAACATTGTTTTATCCATTCTTTTTTTTGCGCCCATTCGTCCATAACCGTATTGACTTCTGCGATTAATTTGTCATTGCGTTCCTTTACTTCATTGCTGCTGCAGTTGCCACTAGATAAAAGTTGTCTGCCAAGAACGGTGACTTCTTTTATTTCATCTTGGTGAGCTTTTATATCATCACCTAGATCCTATAGGACATTACAATAGTGTAATAACCCTAAATAATTGTAATACAAAGTACTAGAAAAACTACTAACGTTATGATTTTTCAAAAGATTTTCGGCTGTTACGACATCACGAGCTGAGCTATCGGCATTAACTAAATCTTTTACGGATGACAACCAATTCAGTAGATTTTTTGAGCTGTTCATAAATATCTGCTGCCCAACAGCACTTTCTAAACGTGATCTACGGTCTAAAGCTTTGTTTTTGACATTCTGCCATAAAACTTGTATATCTTTTTGTCTTTGATTGACATTATCTAATAGAAAATAACATACATAGTAGAGTACCCAAAATATTAGTACGTCAATTATGAAATACTAACCTTTTTCATTAGGATAAGACGATTTTACTGAATTGGCTAACAAGTTTACCCTATTGACCTTTTCTTCAACCGGTGCCAGTTCTCTTTCTAAATTCAAATGTCGTCTTTGTAGCGCCTGGATAGTTTTTAGATCTAATCCTACCTCAGCGCTATCAAGTTTGTCCATTTTTTCTGTCATCCAGTCTTTGGCTTCGTCACACGTTTTTTCAAACAGCTCAACACTAACCCAATAAAATATATGTAAAGATGTTTCAGGTATGTAGTACATTTATATTTTATATTACCTAAGAGCTCCTTCCAAGTTTTTTTCTTTTTGTGCTTTTAACCAATTCAAATGGTCCCATAGCTTGTGAATTTGATTTTGTCGTTTTGTTATCATATCAAGTTGGCTATGTCCAAGCTTAGTAAACTCTTGTACACCTCGATCAATATCTTCTACTCGCTTATTGCTAGCAGATAAATCGGTTAGGAATTTCTAAAATACAATACAATCAGTAAAAAATCAGTTTTATTTTTCCAGTAAAGAGTTAAATAACTAAATACTTCATATTTGCGTTTCGCAGATTCCACTGTATCAAGTTTTTCTTCAGTTTTAAGTAATTTTTCTTTGTCTTTGATCCATTTTTCGAAATCATCACATTCTCGATAAAATCCGTATAAACAGATAGAATCTTCCAAAAGTGCGTGACGTTTTTTAGCCAAATCTTGCGATTTCGTGTATGTCTCATTTATTTTTAGTATTCGTTTTTCAATACTTCTTTCATTATTGAGATTTCCGGTATTTTTCTTTTTGGGTTCTACAATTCAAACAATATTTAAATTTAAATATTACATGGTGAAAATATGCATGATTATTTATACGTATATTATAATGTACATAGTACGTATTTATTATTATATTAAAATATATTTTAATTACCTTCTTTTTCAGGCGTCCTTGTTTTCTTTACGCGTACTTTCTGTTTGACCATTTTAACTTTAGGGACCTTTCGCGTACTTTTCACTACGTGTGGTCTTCTAACTGATACTTGCATAATTTTTGGTTCAATTTCACAAACATAATTTGCTGGAACAAAGCCATCTTGACCATTTACTTTTCTCACGCTCCACCAATCTGGATTTGTCTTGTTCAATAAAAACATGACCTAAAAAAAACATTAAGTTGCAAAATCTCGTTTCTTTTACATACAAATGTTAATAGGTAATTACTTCGCCTTTAGTCATAGTCATTCCTTGTCCACTGAAAGGATACAAACTCTTTACTTGAGGAACTTGGCGTTCTTCTACAACAGTTCTATGCTCAACGTGTTCCATAATTTCTTCTTCTAAAACTTCTTGGGGTAGAAGTCTAGTTTCAAAGACCCATTCTTCGACTGGCTCCGTTGGAACTTTTTGAGTAGCTTCATTAGACAGCTGAAATTACAACCACAAATCAACATTTATAAATTTGTGTAATAAGTTATAATAATGATAATAATTCAGTGATTTGTATTAATTTTATTTGATTTTTGTCGAAAAATGATATTATATAATATATATGTCTCAAAAAAACAGAAACATTCAATGACTCTCCTAACATAGCAGTTAATAACTATTTGAATTACCAAAATGTTTGATATTCCGGCCTTAACCAAATTTTCGCATTGTATATTTAATGACTGTATGTCTCCTTGGTAAGCATCCAGTTCTTCTTCTAGTATTTTATGTCGAGCTAGTAATGCTTGGGCACTTGGTTCATCTATTCCATAGTCGGTTGTACCTAGTACGGTTAACCTCTCATGTAACCAAGATTCAGCTTCATTTGCATCAGCGTAGAACTAAGGGTATTACAAACCAGGTAAGTAAATGGAAATAATTACTCGAGAATAAACAAAGAATAATTAATGTATATTTTCTGTACTTGATAAGCTTCAGCGGCGTCTTGAAGCTGTTTAGTTCTCAGCTGTGAAAGCGTGTTTAATGTGCTCCAATTACTTTGAAGAGAATCAACTCTTGATTGTATTTCTGTTGGTTCACCAGAACTTATGGTAAGTCCAGATTTACATATTTGGTCTGATTTCTGACGATGTACTTTCATTTCATCAAGTAACACCTATTTGTAATAATAATAACAAGATATAAATTTCATTGTTAAATGCATATATCTTACTCACAATTTATTTGTATTTTACCTTGTGTTTTTGTTGCAAGCTCATTACACCTCTTAGGTCTTTTGCAGAAATATCAGCTTTACAAATTCGTTGTTTTTCGATAAGCCAAGCCTCTTCATCCTCATGATCTTCGATGAATTGGTAAAAGTTCCTAGCCTCTTCCAGTCTTAATCTCCTCTCTTTACTTAGTTCTGTTAATCTATAACGAATTATCCAAATAAGTTGAATTTAACAATAAATATTTTTATCATTTGTATAATACCCTACCTGTCATATGTGATGTTTAATTGGCTAAGGCTTTCTTTCAGCAGTGCAGCGTCTTTATTTTTTGATGGCACATGTTGCTGGCCTTGTCTTGTTAATCTTCTTACTGTTTCGCCAATAGCTGTAGTCTGCATTTCAGTTAGATTTTGTTTCTGTAGCAAATCTTCCACAACTAATAAATGCGGTCCGACATCTTCAGACTTATACGTAGCTTCAATTTCCTTTAAAAACAAATTAATATTTTTTTATGGATAAGTAATACATTTTATAGGTTTTTAAAAAATAATTACCTTTATGGTAGTCATTACAGTTTCTATTTCTCTAAGCATTGAGAATATAGTGCTTATGTTGTTCAGGTTTACTTTGCGGCTTTCTAAAAGTTTTAAAAGATCTTTCCATCTTTGTAAAACTTCCTCTTCCCTCTTCTTCACTCTCTGGGATCCGTGGTAGTTTTCCTTTACGAGTTCTTCGCTCATAGCGTTCAAATCATGAAACCTTTCCTCTCGAGCCATTATATCAGCACTAATGGCTTCGTGCTTTTTTACGGTAGCGTCGACTTGAGTCAGGCTATTTCCGAATCTCGGATCATTTAAAACTTGTATCATTTCTTTTAAATAACCATCCCGAAGAACACTCTAAAAACAAACATAAATTATTTCTATTTTTATTTTCGTTCAAAAATATAGCTACTTACTTTTTTCTCAAATTTATAATTTAACTGTTCTAGCCGCTCTTGTCTTAAGAGTTCCTCTCTTAAGGCTACTTCTCTTTTGTGTTCAGCTCTTTCTAAAGATTCCCAGTTACGTTCAAGGTCGTGTATCAACTGACCTTCTTGGGGTATAAAGACGCCTTGGTTAAGTGATTTTAGTAATGTGTTTATATGGAAATAAAGAGCTTCTATTTCACTGCGTTCAATGTATCTATTACACGGTGAATAAAATATATTCATGTATTAATGATTTACGAGTTATAGTTGTTGTATTAAATCATACTTGGGAGGTTTTTCTACGGTCCGATATTTTTTGAACGCCAACAGCTCTCGTTGAATTCCCTCTAGGGAATTGGGAAAGTTGTGATTTTCGAGCTCTTTGATTTTCATCCGTATCCATTCTAACAGGTCGGAAGTTAGCTGCTCATAAATAATTTTCTTTTTATCAGTGTCCATGAGCTGACCGAGTATCTGAAAGCCAAATACAAAAGTGAAAAAACTGATACCACAAAATATTAAACAAGAATTTTGCTTAAATATGCAATTACATTTGCTATTCTGCGACCGCTTTTCATTTCATTCTTCATCCTTGCAAACGTGTGATAATAAGAGGCGACATAAGTGATCACAGATTTTTCATCAGGTCGGTTTATATCAACATCTGTTTTATTTTTACAATTTTCAAATTAAATATTATTAATTATAGTTAAGTTCAATAGATTACGGTTAAATTTTAGTGTTTACCTTCGGCATCAAGTAGCCGTGGGATTCCCAATTCATTGTTGGCTACGTCAAACGCTATGTTTAGGTTATCGATGTTAGTATTCTTGTCTAGTGATGAGTAATCAAGCAAGTCTGGCCTGTGAGAATGTATTAACGCATTGAATCCCAAACCGTTCCTCCAAGATCCTATAAATTTAGATCAAAGTTAATGACGAGTAATTTTTACAAATTATCATTAAATCATTATTTACCAGTAAAATCTTGTATATTGACACCTTTGTAACCGTTTGTTTTTCTTTGACACCACAATAGCAAAGCATCCTTAGCAGATTTTTTTTCACTGCTTTCATTTTCTTCATCCTGAAATTTTAATTTTTTAAAAAAATGATTTTTGAATGCACCGTTTTACTCCAACTACTTACCACGTCAATTTCAATTTCTTGAATTTGAAATCTTAAAATAATCGTCCAAATAAGCCCCAAAATTAATCTAGGGTTACCGTCAACAATGTCTTCGGCTCCTATACTTTCCAGTCTCACCTAAGTAGGTATAAAAATGTTAACGTTAAATATTAATTATTTATTATTTATATATTTATATATATATTATAGCTTTTATTATAAATATTGCAGCTCAACGATTACACAAATTAACGATAGATTCATCGAGGATGAATTTGAGGATAGATTGGACGATAGGAACTGAATGGGAATACAGAATATTTAAGGAGTTAGGGTCATTAACACCCAAAGAGGATAGGAAGTTAAAGAGGATAACTCTATGGGGAGAGAGTGTAGGACAATGAAAAAGAAGAAAAATCACAAATGGCTGTTAAATCATGCAAGGTGCAATGTGGAGAGGAGTTTAAAGAGATGAGGAATGAGAAAGCGGGAAGAAGGTTGTGTCCAAATCTTAAACGGGAAAAGAAAAAAATGTCCTTACGTGACAGATGGAGACCATGAAATCAGGGCCTGCGATGGATAATGTGGCAGATTGAGCGATGCCAAAGGGAAAATTTAGGTATTTAATAATAAATATTTAATAAATAACATCAGGACTCAATGTTTATCATAATAAAACGGGAGTCATTGATTACCTTTGTATGAAGGAATGCTAAGCTTTTGTTGACGTTTTCCACTTTGTGTACTCGCATGCGGCCGTTATTAGGTTTTCCTAACTTTTCGCCGGAAATTATTTCTAAGAGTTTGAGGAGCTTTCTGCCGTCCGCCAGGTCCACAAACAAGTCGTCCACTTCCATTCTCACCTATATTGGTTTTAAATTAAAATTTGTAAAAGACGCAAACTAATTTGTTAATTCCTTGTATTTGCCTTTTGCAAGAAGGAGTTCATCCATTTGGTAAAAGTCTTTTTCTGTATGTGCAGCCGCTCCTCTTGAAGGGCTTTAATACGCCCCTGTTCGAACTTAAGTACATCTTCCCTCTGCGTCATCTCGTTGCGTTCGAATGTCGAATGGACATTTTACAACACTGAAACAAATAAAAAAAAGTATGTGATGCCTATTCTATAATTTACACGAAACTCAATTTGAGTCGACCAACCCAAACCCTATAAAGCAATATCGTAATTTGTTTTTCACTGACGTCAAAGGATTTTGAAAGGAGCATAGTGCCAGAAAAGCGTAATCCACAAATTCATTATTTCAAGAAATGACAAATATATTTGTTTAAATACTAATTCCAAAATAAATAAATAGGTACTACCATGTAGTGGATCAGTTTTTTAGGGTTGGGTCAGTTTGGTTTTGAAATATTAAATCATTCTAGAATGTTAAATGTAATAAAAGAAATTTAGCTTATTGTGGGTTGAGCTTTTCCCGCGCTATGCGTCTCAACTCTCAATTAAAAATATATTCTTAAAACTAGTCATGAAAATAAGGTGAATTGTTCAGTAGGTGCTGTTTTGTTGTTATTGCATTACATAGATGAGATAAATAACTAAATAACATATTGCTCAATTAGCAGTCACGCAACGCATGAAGCTCTCAGACACAATACTATAACATTACGAAGTAACAATTCGTGATAATTTTTAGTATATTGTTGCTTCATTCGAAATATGAAGAAAATTCATCGCAAAAAAATGTTCATTGCTGTATTGAACACTATTATGCATTCCAAAACAAAATAAGGCTTATTTTACTCGACATTATGTAATATGAGTAATTTCAAAATGGATTCTTTATTTTGTTTTATATACATAGTAATCCTTGGCTAGCGATTAAATGCCACATCTTGACAGTTACGTCCTTCGTAAAAGTTTTGCGGTTTCTTTTAATTTTGAAGCCGGAAAAAGAAGTCGGAAAATAAACCCAATCAAATGTTCATCATCGAACGTCTCGTGGACGGTTTTTGGTAAGGACAAGTTTGGACGTGCGATTTGATTAGAAATCGCAAAACATAAGTATAATAATATAACATTGGACGACTCCTATTACTATACTGTTGTAAATTATTCAGATACGTTTCGAAAGTTGGATCTTATGAATTTATAGTATTTGTGAATTGCGGTAGTTACATCTGCTCCTCATTCAAGTCAGTAGTTGGACGATTTTCATGAAGTTGTTTTAATTTGATGAGTTTGTTTGTTAAATTTGGTTATTATTATTTAAGATACGATGTATATATTTATATTCTTGGATTAAAGCATAAAATATATTACATTTTCAATAAATAAAAATTAAAAAAATAAATAATTCGATTTTTAATTAATACAATTATTTCTTTTAGTACTACAAACGTTTTGATATGATAAAAAATTATAAATATATGTGCGATGATTGTTCTTGTATTGTTTTTTTTAACTATATATAATTATGTTCTATACATAGCTGCGTAAACCCTAACTTAAGTTATTTAGTGTTTTTACTTATTCGCACTAATTTATAATATTATTATAAATCTTAAAACTATGTTACATATTATCTGTATTATAGTTTTCAGTAAATGCCGATTATACAGTACGAATTACAAATAATTTATAATAGGTAAGTATTACAACATCAGTAACTTTAACAAGAATAACAGTAAAATCGTGCTATAAGCGAGTATACGATTTTCTACAAGTGGAAAATGTTACATAATTAATACATTTTTTTTATAGTTGGTAATGCCATTTGTTTGAAGAACTTACAATTTATGTCTGGTCGTTTGGTTTAATAGTGCTTGAATTATAAATCAATAAAATACAGAAGGGCACATTTAAGTAGGTATGTTAAAACATTTTATTAATATTTGGATATATCTAAAAAAAAAATTCAGAGAAGTCGAGTTTTCCTGTGTTCTCTTGTCCTAGTTCAATTGCTGTTTTTTTTTAAATTTATATAGTAAGTTTATTCAGAATTTACAAATTGTCTAGAGTATATTAATACTCAAATTTCATTTAGCTGTTATTTACCTAAATAATGTCATTAGTTAATGTTTGTTATACTATGCTGAACAGTAAACATTGCCTGTTTCGTTTAAATGACGGTAAATAATAGTTGACCCCTGTCAGTCAGCTCCGAAATAATGAAAATTCCTGATTAGTTTGTATCTATGTAACAATGTATGCCATCTATGCACAATAATTATCTACGTGTCCAGCTTATTTTTGAAAGTTATAGCAGCTCATTTATCTATGAATAATAGACCCCGTTCATTAAGTACTATGGAATAAACTATATAATATCTTTCTAGAAGATTACCGCCATATTTTATTACCTCACATGTCACGTGTAACCATAAATTATTTTTAAAAAGTATTTTTTTAATTTTGCATACCAACGAGCAATTTCACAAGTCAAGTGTGTTAATTAAAAGTAACGCGTTGAATGCTCGTTTTCAGTTTTATTAATATGAATACTTGTACATTTGGAGTTAAATGTTTCTCATTTCCTCCCGCAATATCGTCACCGGAGTAGAAATCGTATTAAGCAATGCACTAGGCTCATCGTGAAAATGGTTCGCTAAACGTGTAATTTGTAACCTAGTTATGTCATAACCAAAGGGAATGTGTTGTTTTTTTATTATAATAATTATGGCTCGAGGACCTTAGCCCGACGGAACATAGCTTTGCGTAAAACGCCCTCGTAGCATTTACAACAAACTCGACAACTAAAAATGGTCTTAGAAAATTTAGTGTTCGCGAGATAAAAGAATATGTTATTGTTGCAGAATTAATACTATATTATACAAATGACATATTATTAAGTAGGTAACTCATAAAAGCGAGCGAAAACTCTTCGTCATGAAAACACAATACGTTTTGTTGACTGCTACTAGTTCCAGAGTGAAACATCTGGCCGATAAGTGTCCTCCCACATCATATTCACTTTTTGTTTGGATACAATTTTTTTTACGATGATACGAGCGTGATTTTTGACAATTAAAGAAAATCACTATGAGATACATTGGTTTTGGTTTTTATACGATATTTCCCGTTATACATTAGTAACCAGGAAAACAACACGGCCGTATCAGATTTATAACGTTGATTCTGGCGTATAATTAACCATCGAAAATCAGAAAACGCGCACCATGGCCTCTTTTATTCAAGCAGAAAACGTTCTGTTACTTTTTGTAAAAAATCTATCATAATGTTTTTTTAAGATGAAAAAAAACCTGTTAACATTTATTTGTACGGAAACAACTTTAATAAATATAGCGAACTACCCAAGTCACGAGTTGCTTTTAGACGGATCGAAATGCTGTTGTGATTATGATTTTTAGTAAAATAATATTATGACTGCAATTGACAGGATACATATCAGAAGTATGTTCAATGAAAATGTCAGTTTTAAATTTAGAGATTCAATGTTTATTTTATGAACGCTTATTTGAATTTTGTATGAGGATAAATGTTTCAGAGAATTGTCTACGTTATTCGGTTTGCGCAATAAGTGTCTATCTTTATCTGTTAACCACTCCCGAGATGTTTTCTGGGTAAATAAAATATGTAAACAAGAATGAGTACCGCATACACTAAATATTTACCGCCTTCAACTGTTAGTACAGATAAATAAGTCAGCATTAGTGTGATAAATTAATATACCAAACAAATAAAAGATAATTTTGGTCTATGGATTTGTGGTTTTCAAAAATGAATTCTGTAAAATTAATGGACGTCTTGACTTGTGTTTTAAACATATAACGGATGAAATTAAGTCTATAAATGTGTTAGAATACACACATCCCGAGTTCACGAGGAATTCGTTTCAATGTGTCGCGTATTTAATGAGACATAAAACAATTTTTACGACTTTCTTACTGCGTTAAGACATGTAAATGTACAGATAGATTCGATTTCGGGTTTCGTTTATAGCTCTTCTCAATAGAACTTTTAAGGGAGCAGTTAAACATCTAGAATGGATTCCATTATCCGGAATAGTTTTGGTCCGAAAGCGTGAGAAATAAGTTAACGTTTATTTATAATATATTACTAGGCAACGGTATATTGCGCCGATCGATTTTGTCTACTCGCAATTAACAAGTGAACTGCGTCGCAAATGTATCGCATGTATTATCGGCTAGTTGATCACGACAGAAATATTATCAGTATGGTAATAAGTATGGTAAACTACACATACAAACGTTCAGCTAAGTAGTTTCTACTATATCAAAAAGCTATTTTTAAAGGTACTTTACACAAATATAGTCAATTCATTAAAAATGGATTTAAATATTGTTGTTCGGGCGAGCTTCTTAACGGCAAAGAAAAATATGAGACTAAATTACTGGAGCGACACAAAACAGTAAACGTAAAGTTTTAGGCGATATTTCTGATCCTCCGTCAAATATATTGCACGGATGTCTTAAGGCGCGAGTTTTGCTTTGTTTCTTAATAAAACAACGCTTCGATGCGAATCTATAGAGAGTAGAAATACAAAAACCGATGTAACCATTGTAAAAGCTATAATGAAATCTAATTGAGTAATCAATATATATTTTATATCTCAGGTAAAGAGTTGAGTTCAGCGAAATTTACTTTAAAGGGAGCAAACAAATTCTGTGCAGTTTACTACCACCTTTTTGACAAGATACGAAAAAAAAAAGTCTTAGCAATTTTACTATTGACCTAATTATTTTGGCGCAATTTACAATCGTCCAATATTACTTCAAATATAAGTCATAGCCCTCGATACAAACCGAAACAAACAGGCAAAATAAAAACAACGTCTTATAATTTTTGATATTTCTGTAAGCTATGAACACGATACTAATACGAATTACATTACACTGCCTAATCGACGAAGAAAGCACTGCCCATCCAATACGAATGCCTGTGCAAGACTTTCCGTTCTGATTGATTAGAAGAATAGACCTATACTGGCCACGACATTTTCGAGCAAATGTATTTATATAGCGCTTGTCTATATTGCCTGGACGGTGGTCGTGTCAGGGTAATTCATTTACCTTAACAGGTATTGTCGCGATCTTGTCAACCCAAAACCCGTGGGACTATTGAGGTAATTACTACTTAGCGAAACTCG